TCAATCGCCACACTGCCACCGCCTGGCCGGAACATCATTGCAGGGATTCTTTCATAGCCGAGAAGCTGTTTCGCCTTCCAAGCCTCGACCAGGACGTCCGACCATCAGCTAACACCCTCCCACAAGGGAGGTTGGCGTGCCCACCCTCTCTAAGGAGTGGTTCCCATTTTATCTACTCGCCGAAGCTTTCGAATCGCTGGGTGGACGATGAGCTGGGGACAACAGGCTGGCTGCTCACACCAGCACGGGGCTCGAACTAACACAGTTCAGATGTTAAGACAGTGGGATATACCCACTGTGCCACCACTCCCCAGATTCTTCACTTAATCTAGTTTTCTCAACATTTGAGTTTTAACCAGCCATAAAACACCCTCCAGGGTCTAAATTCTTCTTCCGCCTTTGGTCTTAAAGGTGCCACTGGACTCAAACATTGTTCTGCGGCTTCAGACCAACATGGCTACCCACCTGGATCTACCATGAAACGTTTTGTCGGCTTGGTCAGATCAGGAAAGGGGAGGTGCTGTGGCTCAGTGGTGGGTTGTCTACTTGGCGTGCAGAAGGTCCCCGGTTCAATCCTTGGCATCTCCAGTTCAAAGGACCTGGCAGGAGGTGATGGGAAAGACCTCTGCCTGAGACCCTGGAGAGCTGTAAAGAGGGAGCTGTGGCTCAGTGGTGGGTGTGCAGAAGGTCCCAGGTTCAATCCCCGGCATCTCCAGTTCAAAGGACCAAGCAGTAGGTGATGCGAAAGACCTCTCTGGCTGAGACCCTGGAGAGCCACTGCCGGTCTGACCCTGACAGTACTGACCCTGATGGACCAAGTGTCTGATTCGGTATAAGGCAGATTCATGTGTTCAAATAGTTATTAGACTAGTAAGAAGGAGCTCTCTAGGAGGAACTGGGAAATTCTTAGTCATCATAAACCAGTGCAATATCACAGTATACAATTTCACAGAAAGCAAGCAAGGACTGTATAAATAACGCAGACCACAATTACTCAAAAGTCATGCAAAAAAAGAGGTAGTTTATATAAGAATAACAGAGGACCGCATATATCAGTAAAATAAATTTGCGTCGTACAATGAAAAAAGCATTTACAGGAGAAAGCGTCTACTAGAGAAAGGGGGCAGGAGCCCCCAGAAGCCCCACCGTAGCTATGGGCCTGGTGCCTTTGCTACTCCATGGCTTCTGGGAGTTGTAGGCACAGCCTAACCTACTGCTAGCCAGGCTCCCTGGGCCTAGTAGGCCTCTGGTGGCACAGCCCAGATCATGACAGGAGGAATGGGCATTCTGGCCATGAGGATCACCCTCACTGCTGCCCAGGGTGGTGCTTATGCACGGGAAGCCCCCCGGATCGCTGCCTGCCTCTTGCCTGACTTCCGGCTGTGGAGGAGCAGGCAGCGGTCCCTGTAACCGCCAAACCCGCTTCTGTGCCGGATAACACAGCTTTTCCCACGTACGCGTCACAGCATACCACCCACCTGCCTCTCCTAACGTTAGCGGCCTTTAAAGTCCGAAATCTGAAAAAGATCTGGGGGGGGGGGGGGGGAATCAATTAAAGTCGTGTTTGCTTTTGTGTCTCTCACTCTCTTCCTCCGTTTCCAGATTCCTTTTCCCCAAGTTCCTGGACCAGTGTTCACAAGGTAAGTCCTCTTTGAAAAATGTCCTGCAAGGATTAAGTCCTGTAAGTCTTTGAGGTGACCTGTGGGAGGTTGCTCCTAAGGGGGCATCCTTTTATCTGCCCAGATGTTGCACTGTTCAAGGAAGAACTCAGCGGGTCTAGGCAGGGCGGGAAGTTGGCTTTAATATCCTTCGTTTTCCTGCCTGTAAAACGGAGCAGTGAGAGGCAACCGTGGGCACAGCACAGTTTAAGGCAGTCTGAAAACATGACAAGGTCAGCCCAGGAGTGAACATAGGAAGAACCCTGCTGGATCAGACCAGTGGTCCCTCTAGTCCAGCATCCTGTCTCACACAGGGGCCAGCCAGTTCCTCTGGAGGGCCAACAACAGGGCAGAGAGGCCAAGGCCTTCCCCTTATAAGAACATCAGAAGAGCCCTGCTGGATCAGACCAGTGGTCCATCTAGTCCAGCATCCTGTCTCACACAGGGGCCAGCCAGTTCCTCTGGAGGTCCAACAGGGCACATAGGGGCCAAGGCCTTCCCCTGATGTTAGCTTCAAGGGGGCATTGGAGAAACATACAGAGCAGAGGTCCATCAGTGGCTATTAGCCACAAGGTATAGACCCGAGTACCGCATGACAGAGTGAGCTCCCGTCTCCGGCCCCAGCTCCTGCCAACCTAGCAGTTCGAAAGCAAGAAATTGCAAGTAGATAAATAGGTACCCCTTCGGTGGGAAGGTAACAGCGTTCTGTGCGCCTTGGCATCTAGTCATGCCGGCCACGTGACCATGGAGAAGTCTTCGGACAGCGCTGGCTCTTCGGCTTGGAAACAGAGATGAGTACCGCATCCCTAGAGTTGGATTCGAGCAAGGGAGACCTTTACCTTTACTATAGATAGAACACCATGCTCTCTAGGTGCTTGGGGGGGGGGCACAGTGGGAAGGCTTCTGGAGTTCTGGCCCCGCTAGTGGACCTCCTGATGGCCCCCTGGGTTTTGGCCACTGTGACGCAGAGTGTTGGGCTGGATGGGCCATTGGCCTGATCCCGCATGGTTTTTCTTATGTTGCCTCTTGGCACTAGGATTCAGAGTTCTACTGCCTCTGAAGGCGGGGGATCCCTTTAGACACCATGCGTTTAGGAGAATACATGGCGACGAGAACAGCCTTCGTGCAGTTTACGGAAATTGCTGCAATAGCAAAATTTACTTTTCATGCTTATACTTACAAAGTCAGTTCAGATTTTTTTTAAAGCCACTGCACAGTTGCAAGGATTGTTACCAGTGTTCCCTCTAAGCAGAGTAAGTGTGAGCTAGCTCACAGTTCTTTAGCCTCCGGCTAATACATTTTTGTCTCAGCTCGGGAAGGAGGGCTCCAGAGCAAACTAATTTATGCAGCAGCCTAATCCCTCGCTCACAACTTTAAGGCCAGTAGCTCACAAAGTAGAATTTTTGCTCACGAGACTCCACAGCTTAGAGGGAGCATTGATTGTTACCAGGGGTCATTTCGTAGAAAAAGATTTGCAGGGGCTCATTAGCATAACTCATTAGCATTACTTATTTCCATATGCCACGCCCCTGACATAACCAGAAGTGTGTCAGAAGGCAACACCCACCGCTCAGGCTCCACTGGACTGTTTTGGATTGCTATCTATTGGGGGGGGGGCGGAATGTGCAGATCTGTCCTTGCAGAGGAGGGAGAGCTTGTTGGGGGGGCTCTGCAACTTACCTGGCTGCTTCTTGCTCTGACTGAGGGCTGCTGGGAGCAGGGGGCGGGGCTTGTTGCATGTGCCCACCCCCTGGGCTCTTTACTGCCGGAGCTCCGCTCCTGCGCGCTCCCACAGGAAATGACCCCTGATTGTTACCTTTAAAAAGGAAAAGCTGGGGTGGGGTGGGGTGGGGCAGGGGCAGAGGAGGCTAGAAGAAATGTGCGGCTCTCCTGGCAGCCCCACCCTAAGAAGGGTGTATTGACGCTGCTGAGTTTTAAGGAGGGAAGATCACCGCTCCTGTCCTCACGCAGGTCTGGTGAGCAACGTGGTCTTCACGAGCCAGACGGCCGAGCAGAGGAACCTGCTGCTGGTCCAGCTCCAGCACCTGATCCGAGCCGCGAACCCCGCCGTCGCCTTCGTCCTGGCGGAAAACGGGGTGGTGACGAGGTAACGTTTGTTTGTTTGACTTGTATCCCGCCCTCCCTGCAAAGCAGTCTCAGGGCGGCTTACAAACTGTATGAAAACATTAAAACAAGAAGACCGCTAAACATTGAAAAATGCAGACAATACTGATGTGTAGAACAAAAGTGTTAAAGTTCTTGATGGGATCTAGCTAAAACAGTAAGTAAAATAAAAGATAATGCCTTCTCAAAAATCATTTAATGACACATTAATTGATACAGAATTGCATCACAGGATCTTACAACGGCAAGCTGTGCTCACTAGTATAGACCACGGTCTGCTAATCATCGATCCTGGTAACTTTGTGGACCGTTCTGAAGCCTTCCTTTCTCCCTGGCTAGGAACGAAGATATTGAACTGATCCTTTCTGAAAGCAGTTTTTCAAATCCAATGATGCTGACCACCCGCTATTTAACGTATCCTGGCTGGTAAGTTAACTTCCTTCTTTTTTTTTGCAAAATATTGCAGTTTTTGTTGGCACGTCTGTTAAGCAGCACCATTAAACTCCCCCCCCCCCCCGCCCCATTCCCCCCCCCTGCATACAAGAACTCTT